CATCTGGATCCACCCTATATGCTGACTTGATCCACCCTATATACTGACTTGATCCACCCTATATACTGACTTGATCCACCCTATATACTGACTTGACCCACCTCCTCTTTATCCACATGGTTGGGGTTCATTTCAATTAAGATTGTATTCACAGATGTGAATGATGCTGACCAAGAGTGGTATACACATATATATTGAGTGACGCCTATATACAATTGGTACAGATCCATTAGCTGTGTGGCATTAGAGTGTGGCATAAACAGGAATATCTTACAGAGATGGATGCCGGTCACTGGAGCCTCTCTTGCCCATCCACCAGAAGAGACTGTGAGGTAAGATGTGGCTGGTAGTCATGGCGACTTGGTGTACAGTACATCAGATTGCAAAGGGTTAGAGGGTGCGGATGGGCCGAGGGGTAGAGGGGAGAGAGGTAGGGTGTGTGGATGGGCCGAGGGGTAGAGGGTGTGTGGATGGGCCGAGGAGTAGAGGGTATGTGGATGGGCCGAGGGGTAGAGGGTGTGGTGGAGTAAAGGGGTAGAGGGTGTTTGCATGGGCAGAGGGGTAAAGGGTGTGTTGGGGTAAAGTGGTAGAGGGTGTGTTGGGGTAAAGTGGTAGAGGGTGTGTTGTGGTAGAGGGTGTGTTGGGGTAAAGTGGTAGAGGGTGTGTTGGGGTTAAATGGTAGAGGGTGTGTGTGTTGGGGTAAAGTGGTAGAGGGTGTGTTGGGGTAAAGGGGTTGATGGTGTGTTGGGGTAAATAGGTAGAGGGTGTGGTGGGGTAAAGGGGTACCGGGTGTGTTGGGGTAAATAGGTAGAGGGTGTGGTGGGGTAAAGTGGTAGTGGGTGTGTTGGGGTAGAGGAGTTTAGGGTGTGTTGGCGTAGTGGGTGTGTGGGCCGGGCGGAGAGGTGTGGTGGGGTAGTGGTTGAGGAGTGTTGAGGGAAAGGGGTGAGGGTGTGTTGGGGAAAGGGGTAGAGGGTGTGGAGGGGTATTGGGTGTGGTGGAGTAAAGGGGTATTGGGTGTGGTGGAGTAAAGGAGTAGAGGGTGTGTTGGGGTAAAGGGGTAGATGGTGGGGTAAATGGGTAGATGGTGTGGTGGAATATAGGGGTAGATGGTGTGGTGGGGTAAAGGGGTAGTGATCTTGGCTCCGAAGTCAAACACCAGTTTCTGAGAAGGTGTCTCCCCTGTTCCTAGGTGTGGGATACTGCTGCATCATGTACCCAGGTATGCTGAAGAATTATCCAGACCCGCCTGAAACCCTCTCACTCTTACAGGATACAAAAAACAAAAGTGTTTAAAGGAAATCAGGTGCAACTGGAAAAGAATGATGAAATTGAGAAGAAATGTGCTGAGAATTCAGGACATGTTTTTTAGAATGTTTACAAGGTATTGATTTGAATCTGTTAAGCAGGATCCACAAGTCGGTGTTGTGTGGTGTATCAGTGAAGCTACAACAGATCTACAGGGTTTCAAGTGACACTCAAATGTAGCAAATGGAAGCAGAGGACAAAATAAACTGCTCCCAAGGGATGCGTAATAATATCCCATGGTTCTTCAGCACATCAAGAGCAGTTACTGTTGTTGGTTATTTCCGCCATCAGTCATGACCACTGTCCACATGGAGAGTGGTTGTTTCCAGGCTTTGGAGTGCTTATCTAAACAGAGTACACAATGCTGTTTCATGACTTTACAGGACCCTACTTCAGGGTACACTAGGATTCTCACTTCTTTGGATAAGTGGTGCATGTGGATCAGGGGAGTTCAAGTAATGTCTCAAATCATCTACTACAACAAATTTGAAACAGTTCAATTGAGATTTTTCCATTGCTTTTATTCATTCTGAGCACACCAAGGATGTTGAAGAAAACTTCCCTATTATAAACCGCCTCCATTGTAATTGTGTGCTAATGGATCTACCTTGATGTCGGTTTTCTTGCAATGTATTTATGACAGAAGTCATGTAGACTGTTCACCCATAGTATTTACTGTAACCAGGCCTGCCCTGAGATCCTGTGGAGGTCAGCGTATTTTATCAGGTGTTTCTACCACTGAGTATTATTCCGACATCTAAACACTGATGTTATCATCGACACTGTGATCAAACACATTCCAGTTCCCGGTAACACACACTCGGGGTGTGGCTGGCAATATGACCCAAAGGTCAAAGATCAGCTGATAAGTGACCAGGTATGGCGTGAAGGATCTAATGGGGGGTTCACCTGCGTCACTGATACCTGCCCTGTCGATAGGTATCCCCCATTGTGGGGGGAGGGGGATGGGGTACCCACTTGTAGTCTAGAACCTACTGCTTATATGTTGTATGGGATTGGGTCATGTCCATCTTGATGAAAGGTGGGAACTAAACTGTTGTATATACAGCAGAATGGGTGGAAGGTGGGAACTAAACTGTTGTATATACAGCAGAATGGGTGGAAGGTGGGAACTAAACTGTTGTATATACAGCAGAATGGGTGGAAGGTGGGAACTAAACTGTTGTATATACAGCAGAATGGGTGGAAGGTGGGAACTAAACTGTTGTATATACAGCAGAATGGGTGGAAGGTGGGAACTAAACTGTTGTATATACAGCAGAATGGGTGGAAGGTGGGAACTAAACTGTTGTATATACAGCAGAATGGGTGGAAGGTGGGAACTAACCTGTTGTATATACAGCAGAATGGGTGGAAGGTGGGAACTAAACTGTTGTATATACAGCAGAATGGGTGGAAGGTGGGAACTAAACTGTTGTATATACAGCAGAATGGGTGGAAGGTGGGAACTAAACTGTTGTATATACAGCAGAATGGGTGGAAGGTGGGAACTAAACTGTTGTATATACAGCAGAATGGGTGGAAGGTGGGAACTAAACTGTTGTATATACAGCAGAATGGGTGGAAGGTGGGAACTAACCTGTTGTATATACAGCAGAATGGGTGGAAGGTGGGAACTAACCTGTTGTATATACAGCAGAATGGGTGGAAGGTGGGAACTAAACTGTTGTATATACAGCAGAATGGGTGGAAGGTGGGAACTAAACTGTTGTATATACAGCAGAATGGGTGGTCTTACTTTATGTTTGAGACAAATTAATGTTCAATCCAACTAAATATTAAGGGAACAAATATATTTGGAGTGGAAATGGATCTCATGCTGAAAATGTGGAAGTCACTTGTGTTCCAAGATGGATTATCATTCCTTGGAATGAAATTTAGATAATATCACAGTACTAGTTTCTCATAACCTCATAGGCCTGTTGGGTAGCCTAGTGGTTAAAGTGTTCGCTCGTCCCGCCGAAGACCGGGGTACAATGTGTAAAGCCCATTTCTGGTGTCCCTTGCTTTAATATTGATGGAATATTGCTAAAAGCAGCGTAAAACTAAAACTCACTCACTCACACATAATCTAACAGGACTTTGTACAGAAGTAGTATTGAAAGACTTCCCAACCAAGTGATTCTTGCTGGTGAAGGCAATGTAATCTAAAACACTGTTTGCTGGCAATGACTGTCCAACTACATCATCACAGGACATCCTCCAGATTGCAGCTTCGTTTTGGTTCCCAGCTGTTTCTATATGCTGGTGGTGGAGGTCACCAAAGGGATTGAGTTCTATGTTGAGTTCTGGGTTTATGGCCTGATGATGAGGAAGTGGTGCTCTCAGCATCGGTCACTGGATTGTCTGGTCCAGACATAATTATTTACAGGCCACTGCCATAAAACTGGACCATTGCTGAGTGTGGTTATTAAACATCAAACAAAGTTAATAAATGATTAACAGAGGATCTGTTGGCTGGACTGCAGCTGGTCAGTTGAGTTTATGTCATTGAGGACATGGGATGTCATATTACATTACCTCTGGTTTGTCTAATCCAGACCTTGAATATGAGACTTTTACATCTTTGCCTTATTACCCAGTGGGAATGCTGTGATATAAATAATTACTTAAAACTGCTGAGCCCTTTCTCATGAAATTCCCTGTAAAATCAGATATTTCTACCAGAACCACAAAACATTTTGGGCCAGATGCTATTTTCACCAGTTGAAGGTCTTTTCACTGGTATGTTTTTGTTTTCACTGCTTAAAGTCATTTTCATTGGTGGAAACAATTTCCGTGGTAGATGCAATTTTCACTGGTAGAAACAGTTTCATCATCACATAGATCATTATTTGGAATGTTCAAGAAATGTCAGGCAACAAACATGTTTGGACCTTGTTTTTTTAATGATGAATTCACACAATGACAATAAAGTAATGGTGCACAAGTCATGGTGTTAGTTATTCATAATTTTCACCCCTTGTGAGGAGCTCAGAGGCTGTGTTAACATCAGTGTATATAGGACCCTGAGTAGGGGGAGTATATCCTGATCTTGTAGCTACCATCAGTTGGTGACTGAGATTCTTGGTGTTGAATATTCCAGACATCAATCTGCTCCACCAAAAGGCCTGACATTGATGGAGGTGTGTTTGATTTGTGAACATAAGATTAAATGTGAAGGTCATAAACCAAATCATATCAGTCCAGTGTCTTCAAATTTGAATGTAGGAAGACATTTATGTTACAGCAGGTATGAATGGAGATTTAGACCTCATGACAGCAAGAAGAATTAGGTTTCACAATTTTGATCAACTTATTACCTGAGATCTTGAGATTGAGATGTGGGTCATTGTGGATGCTACGATGTGGGAAGTGAGTGTGACTGTTACAGGCAAACTTAGCTGTCAGCCATGATTGCTTGTCCTTGACAAACATTATTTTACCCTGCGGTTGTCAGGTATTCCTGCTGATGGAATTAGTTCTCGGGACCAGTGTGAGCGTTCGGCTGAACTGTCTAGACTCTGAACAAAGATGTACTGTTTGGGAACATTGGCAGTCACCTGTGGCCTGGCTGGTTAATGGAAATAGAAGACTAAGTCCCTGTTTCCATGGTTGTTGGTTTGAATGACCAAACTTGATAACTGCCTAAGAACAGACACAGTTGGTTTGGTGGCATCTTCAATGATGACTTCATGGCCAGATTGTTTGGTGGCATCTTCAATGATGACTTCATGCCCAGATGGCTTTGTGGCATCTTCAATGATGACATCATGGCCAGATTGTTTGGTGGCATCTTCAATGATGACTTCATGCCCAGATGGCTTTGTGGCATCTTTGTGACATCATTCAATGATTGGATCTTCAATGATGACTTGCTGGTCAGATGGTTTGGTGGCATCTTCAATGATGACTTCATGCCCAGATGGCTTTGTGGCATCTTCAATGATGACTTCATGCCCAGATGGCTTTGTGGCATCTTCAATGATGACATCATGGCCAGATTGTTTGGTGGCATCTTCAATGATGACTTCATGCCCAGATGGCTTTGTGGCATCTTCAATGATGACTTGCTGGTCAGATGGTTTGGTGGCATCTTCCATGATGACATCATGGTCAGATTGTTTACAAGTATCTTCAATGATGACGTCATGTTCTGATGGTCAGACATTTTCAAACAAATTATTGTTACAGGGTTAAATGGTATTTAGTTCAAAAGTTCGAAACATTGAAATTACTAGTATAGGGTAGTGGACGGATCATATACAGAGATTTCACTTCTGCCTGTATTGTCCCCACATATGCAAAGTGAAGCCTCTCCCCTCTTGTAGTGACTAGCATGAGAGCAGTAGTGGCCAGGATGTCTGAATAGCAGCGACCCATTAGATTGGCAAGGATTTTAATGGTGCTGCTTGATGTTTCAGCACAATACTGATATATGTAGGTTGTTCTCCATGATTAACCTGATATGCCATCACTTTAGTAACCACCCTCCCACATTGCTGAGAGTTAGAACACAGATGGCATGTTGTTAAGAGAAGTGTAGCCCATCCTCAAAGGTGTACACACACGCATGCATGCACCCATGCAGAGATGTACACACAAATGGACACATTGCACAAACAGATGTACACACGCACAGGCATATACACAGACATACAAACAAAAGTATGTTTGATTGTCAGGGCTCCAGATAAAGGCCATATCGGCGTATGTATGGATAAAAAATATGCACGATACGGTAGGAAATAGTTTAGAAAACGTAGCAGATACGCACCACGACAATGGTCCTAGAATCATTTACAGACGAATGTATCTGAAAAAGTATTGTTTTATTGTTTATTGACCTGTTTACACAAGAATAGCAACGTTGTGGTGCATATATGACACGAAACACAAGGTTACAGATACGCCATTAAATTCCATTCAGTACTCTTAAGATTTTCCAGTACTCCTGTATTGAAAAAATAAGGAGTACGTATCCTGATGTTGAAAAATTATCAGGAGCCCTGATTGTTAAGGACATTTGAATTTGAAGTTATAAAATGGGGTCAACAGGGAACTGGTCATCAGTTCTTGAAACCTCAAGTGTGGACAGCGTTGAGCCAATGTCCTCCTGGTCGAGAGACGAGATGTAGTTCCGCTCTATGTTGTCTGTGGTGAGGAGGTCTTGTACAACTGGGGTATCATTCTGTCTCATCTGTGTCTGAGTCAGATGAATCGCTGTGTTGGATGTGATCAATTGGCGACGACGTGCTCCACTGTCACTGTATCAGATGGCCAATATCTGCTGGCCTCCGTGATGGAGTAGGTACAGCCATTCAGCGGGGGACATGATGTCACAAGCATTGATTCAGTGTGTGGAGTGGGGGGATGTTTATTGACTGGAGTAATACCTGATAACATGGGGCCCGATGACAAGATACCGGCGTTGTTCAGGAGAGGGCTGGATCATACTGCTATGGACACTGGCACTGTTACAACAGTTATTTCATAGATGTATTGATGGGCTGAGGATCCAGTGGTTGATAGTGTGAGCATTCTCCTGTCAACATGGTAGTACTTTATACAAATACATCTTGGATGTGTCGAGTCTGTTGTATGATGCAGATCTTGTCCAAATATGTATTTATAGGAGATATATTGAATAATTGTGCGTCTTGTTCTTGCGACAATGCTTGTGAAAATGTACATCACTTCCTATAAGAATGTAAACTGTATATAACACTCAGAGAGAGGCATTAATATTAAATTTGAAAAGTATTGTAAAATGTGGCTATCCAGTCCACATTGCAGTTGTCATTAATGTTACTTCTGAAGTCTAGATATGACTATTCAAGAGAATGAATGTTTTCAATGTGTACACACTTTTATTTATCAACCAAATGTTTTTTGAGTGATCACATAAGTTGTGTCCCCTCCTCTCTTCCCTCTCTAACTTTCTTATACTTTCTCTCTATTATTCCTAAGATGTATAATAGTGAAAATGCTTGTTTGTAAATATCAGGCAGCAAGTATTTTTAGTTAGATACCTTTTCCACAATCCCTTTCACATTTGTGAATAAAATATTTTTAAATCAAATAAATATTGAATAATAACTTTTTAAAGCACATAGTGACACAGAACACATGTTATCTGAAATACCACAAACATCAACCCTAATCCGACAGCCAGCGTGTATGCATATTGAACTCCCATCTTCAGCCATGCTCATGCTGTTGTGTCACACTGGAGAGATGTACACGATTTTCTTTATGTATAGTGCAATAATCTACATGAAAATGAAATGATTTTCCATTATTATTGGTGAATACTAGACAAAAGATGTATTGTGTTGAGGGGGACCAGATATTAAAATGTCTGTGTGAAGCAGCAGACCTTGTTATATTCTTGTTACGGCCCTGTGAAAACTTATGATTTCCGGAAACAGATAGTCTGAAAATATAGCATAGATATAATTTTTTGGTACTTAAAAATGTACACTTATTCAGTTCATGATCCTGTATGTGTCCAAGTTAATACTCACCAACATTTAAATCGAATACTCTTTTATGATCAGCTGTTGTATATGAAGATGCCTTAGTCAGGAACATGTAAAAGCTCAAACACGTAACTCATTTTGCCTTGGGCATGATTATCCAAAATATATCGATGAAAAAAATGTGTGGGTGTCAGTGTTAGTATTTTATACTATGTCCATCCGGATCTAACCCACATAGCCAAAATGGGTTCCACAAAAAAGGAATTTGTTCAACGGATAGTTTGGATCCCATCCTTTGTGTACCCTTCTTGCATGTGTATTACTGGTGGTTTAAACTGGCTGAGTGGGTTAGATCATTGACTTTGGGTGCTGGCAATTGGGTGCTTGACTCTGAGGGTGTGGGTTCGAATCCCAGATGGAACTCAACTTTACGAAAGTATTAAAATCTGTACTTTACTGAGAAAGTGTAATTCCAAATAAAGCATATGTTACATTCAACTATTCATGACTGTTAGAATTTTTATCCCGTGAAGATCCGAGGTAGAATAGGCCTTCAGCAACGCATGCTTGCAACAAAAGAGGCGACAATGCTTGTCGTAAGAGGCGACTTACGGGATTGGGTGGTCAGGCTCGCTGACTTGGTTGACACATGTCATCGGTTCCCAATTGCGCGCAGATTGATGCTCATGCTGTTGGTCACTGGATTGTCTGGTCCAGACTCGATTATTTACAGACTGCCACCATATAGGTGGAATATTGCTGAGTGTGGCAAACTCACTCACTCACTATTAGAGTTTTACCCTTGATGGTGAATGGGTAGATTGTACTCATGGCTCTCACAGGACGGGGCTGTTTAACCACCTGAGTCTGATTAACCATCTGATTAACTGGCAGTATTAACCGAACCAACCATCACAAGACCATATACTTGATTCAGAGAATAAATTCAATTTTATCCCTATGATAATAGTTTCGCGTTCAGGCAACACAATGAACAATGGTGTGACAATTATAAGCATCTATCTACTTCTGGCTTATTATATACAACAATAACTGTTTCGTATATTTTTGTAATCAGTATAATACCATACTGCGTTCCTTAATCTTTCTAACCATGAAGATTCGGGTTAGAATTGATCTTCAGTAACCCATGCTTCTCGTAAGAGGCGATGAACGGGATTGGGTGACCAGGCTCGCTGACTTGGTTGACACATGTCGTCGGTTCCCAATTGTGCAGCACGATGCTCATGATGTTGATCACTGGATTGTCTGGTCCAGACTTGATTATTTGAAGACTGCCGCCATATAGGTGGAATATTGCTGAGTGCAGAGTAAAACTAAACTCACTCACTCACTCACTCACTCCTGAATCTTTCTGTGTTGACATCTGATTAACAGATGTTCTTCACTGATGTCGATCAGCGTGCCATTATACAAAACAACCGTAGGACTAAGACTACCTTAAGTCTATGTTAAGGTGTTGGAGTTACGGTCACCTTAGCGCTGAGATCGATGTACAACCGCACCATGGTCAATATGTAAGGTCATTGAGCTAAACTTCAACGTTTTCATCATTGGCATTGTCATGATACCGGATCCTGTCATGACAACATTAACTCCCGGTAGTTTCAGAAATATGAGTAGGTTCTTTCGATTGTTATTCCCTGCTGTGTGTTTAGCGCGAAACCAGGGATATAGTATTAGGCTCCATCTGTCTGTACGTACGTACGTGCGATTTGGAATATCTTAAGAACCGTTGACTAGATTCTTTTCATATTTGGTACCTGATTCATCACTGTATGCAAAAGGTCCCAGTCAGGTTTGGTGACCTTGACCTTCATTTCAAGGTCACAAGGGGACTTTAATGTTTTACCCTTGTCAGTGAGATATCTCAAGAACCGTTCACTAGATTTTCTTCATATTCAACACCAAGCTTCACCTAGGGGAGGCGCAGAGCCCAGTTGACTTTGGTGATCGTCACATAATTTTCAAGGTCACAGCGACACTTTGAAGATTTCATCATGTTAACTTGCATGTTGAGCTTGTCTGCAAGATATCTCAAGAACGGTTCACTGGATTTTCTTCAGAGACTTTCAAGACTTCTCTTGAATGTCTTTTGATAAGCAATTTCTTTATAAGTATTTTTGCATATTTCATACACCATGACATTCATATCAAGGTCAAAGTGAGTCTTTAAAATATTTGTGTGTTTGAACAACTACAGAGCAAATTATCAAGAGAGGTTGACTGGTCATGTTTTTGTTGACATTTAACTCCATTTTAAATTACGACCTTCACTTTCATTACTTTTTAAGTTTGATTTGATAATTTAAAGCAGGGGATTATGTCCCCTTAGTGACAATGCTTGTTGTTACTATTTCAAGATACTGGTTTTAATTTGTTGTATAAATAATTTAAGCCCATGTTTACTTTCACTGTATAGCTCCTCTAAATGGATTGGCTATGGGCTGATGTATGGGACTGTGTGTTAGAAGTGGTTTTTAATGAACAAATTTCTCTGTGACATTATGAATGTTCAAATAAATTTGTTAGAAAGCATACATGTATCTTACTTATTTTTAGCCTCGGATGCTATGATCATTGGCTTGTAACAGCCTTAGATGTAGTGTCTCAAGAGGTGTATAGGCGTTGATTACGTAAGCTCAAGTAGAATATAA